CCGCCGTCGTCGTAGAGACGGGATTTGCGCCCTTTCTCACCACCACTCACCACCACCACCATTGCCAGAAGAAGAAGAAGAAGAAAGACCCGCCGTAGACTCCACGTAGTGAAACGTCGACGGGAAAAACACCTCGTAGGGGAACGGGAATAGAAAAGCCAGATACGACCACGCCTCTTTCCACCAGGGGCCCCTCAACACCACAATCTTAGTATTCATGCCTCTTAGTCCGCGGTTGGCAACGCCTAGCCAGCGTCGCGGCCACCGCACGCCCCTTTCCCACTGCCCTGTCCCCCATATCAGCACGCCAGTCACCACACCGCCCATCAATGCCACTTTCTCGGCCATCTCGACCACCCAGTAGACGGAGCCGCCGACTCCGCGGCCATCTTCGCGAGGGCGCAGGAAGAGCGCGTAGGAGAAATAGGCGATCCAGAGGGCGAGGAGGAGGATGAAGAAGGTGTTTTGCTGCCGGCGGGCACGGAGAGCGAGGTATTGGGAGCGCAGGGAGGTTTCGAGGATGAGCAGATTTAGGTAGATTTGCGGCGGCGAGGAGGGCAGGGTGGAGAGGGGGTCAGGAGCAACGGTGAGAGGGCTGGGAGGATCTTCTTGGGACGTCGGATGCCCTTGTTGCTGCCCTTGTTGCTGCTGCTGCTGCTGCTGCTGCTGCTGCTGCTGCTGCTGAAAGTGGTATTGGGATTCAAGAGGCGGGGATGGGGTGCTGGTCGGGGACAGGGACAGGGCGGCGGTGCTTGGAGCGCCCTTGATAACTTGGTCGAGGCGGGATGACATATTTAGCTGGGGTTATGGATTAATATTTAGACGAGTGGGGATGCATAGCTAGCGATCGATGATGGTATTAGGTATTACGGCGGACAGGAATCGAGCAACGGGGGCAGCGACGTCGGTGGTTCTCCAGGAGCACAGCGTAGATATTGAAGCTGTAGAGCCAGAGAGAAAGATTGAGTTGATGGCTTTGACGTCGTTGGCTGGACACATGACAACGGGCGAGATTTCAGCATCAGAAGACGTGGATGGGGGATTCTAAATAAATAAATACACGGACGCAGGAGAGCGAGAGAAGAACCAGATAAATATGCTATTTAGATAGATATTTATTTGTATTCCCACCGGCTGTCCTCCGCATGCGCATCTTCATATCGACGGATTCAATTAATTATTTAGTTAAATACAATCGCTTCCAATGGCGGGTCCGCGATCACCAGCTCCTCACGGCCTCTGACATAAATATAATATCCCCAATTAAATATCTATCTACATGGGATAAATAAGGATGTGTGCTGGCTGTGGTCAAGGATTCAATCCGCAGTATTGAGTCAATAGTATATTTATTCAGAGGCCCGCAGTCTGCAGATATCTTCTTCTCTGTATATATATATATATATATATATAACTATATATATATATATATTCGGGGGAAACCTCTCGCACGATCTGGTCGGTCTAACCTTCGCCCTGCGGCCCGAGACCAGTGCTGATGCTTCACCATTTATCCTATCCTATCCTATCCTATCTATTTCCTAGCTGCTTCTGCCCCGTCCTGCCTGACGTCGTTAAATAATCCTGCTGCCTTCGCCGCCGGGTTCCGTGGCTGTCTCGCAGCTGGCCGTCGGTCTTTTTTTTCTGCGCAAACTCCGCCTCAATCCCTTCTCGCCTCAAAGTCGTTATTTATAATAGTTCCATCTCTCTATAAGATATCGCCCACACGCCCCTTTCCTCGCCTCCCGTCCCCATGTTTCGGAGTGGCAGCTTTTCTCTGTCACTCCCCTGCTGCGTTCCAAAGTGTATTCCTCAACACGCCTCTCCGCCAATCCCCTCCTGCACCTGGCCAGACACAGGCCTGCAATTGACCTGGCCTCTGCCCTCTCGTTGACGCTCTCGCATTCCCTCGTTCCTTCTGGCTCGTTTCTCTCGCCGGCGCCGCTGAATATTCCCGCTCTGCCGTTCCAGTTCCAGGCGCATTTCGAGTCTTCCCTTGCCTCGGCCTCGTCTTCGGTTCCTTCTTCTTCTTCTTCTTCTTCTTCTTCTTCTTCTTCTTCTTCCCTACGGTTCTATCCGTCAATGGCGACTGCAACTTCCACTGCCTCAGGATCTTCCGAGGACCTAGGTGCCGCCTTTAAGACGCCGGAGCCGCCGCAGGGTAAATTGCCTGATAGAATTACTGGCCGGCTTTTCCCTTTGAGCTACAAGGAAGGATTCAGCCAATGGGTAGGCCACCATGCTTTCTGGCCCTTCATTCGATCCTACTGGCACTGACAATTTATATTTATTTGACCTGTAGTGGGCAAGTATCCCCGCTGCCACCGCTGAACACAAAGTCCTCTCTTTCATCCCTTACCTCCAACACCCACCCACCCACAAGCAGACCGGGAAAGATGCTGTGACTCCGAATCAATCTACGGACAGCCTCACCGAAGCGGACCCCAGCCAGGCTTTCCAGATTTCCACCAAATCCGTCGATGATCCCCATGGTCCCCGCATATGGCGCTCCACCATGGTCGAGCTGAGCGGGAAGAACCGCGCCCTGAATGAATTCTCCATCGAGCGCGTCGGCGAGAAAACCGAGCAGAACCTTGTCATTCTTCACGGATACGGCGCTGGTCTAGGTTTCTTCTACAAGAACTTTGATGCTCTCAGCCGTGCCAAGGGCTGGCACTTATATGCCCTCGACATGCTGGGGATGGGTCGAAGTACACGGCCACCTTTTAAAATCCACTCAAAGGAGCGTCAGAAGGCCATCAGCGAAGCTGAAGACTGGTTCATCGATGCTTTGGAAGAGTGGCGAATAAAGCGCAGGCTCGACAAGTTCACTCTTCTTGGCCATAGTCTAGGCGGGTATATAGCCGTGTCATACGCCCTCAAATACCCCGGGCGCCTCAACAAGCTCATCCTTGCGTCCCCTGTCGGAATCCCCGAGGACCCCTTCGCCGTTAGTGCTGAAATGCCCGAACCATCCGCTTCCACTGTCGCCAACGAATCCGGTCAGGGCCAGAAGAGCATCACTAAGCCCGCACCAGACAACAACAACAACAACAACAATGGGGTCAGCAGTGAAGCTACACCCCCTCGCCGGCCCCTGCCCAAATGGGTGAAATACCTCTGGGACTCCAACGTTTCTCCTTTCAGTCTTGTGCGCTGGTCTGGTCCCCTCGGGCCTCGCCTTATTTCTGCCTGGACGTCGCGCCGCTTCTCGCATCTGCCGCCCGCCGAATCCCAGGCACTTCACGACTACGCATACTCCCTCTTCCGCATGCGCGGCAGCGGCGAATATGCCCTGGCGTATATACTAGCGCCTGGCGCCTTTGCGCGGAATCCGTTGATTAGACGCATCCATGCCGTGGGGAGACAGGTGCTAAGGCCTGATGATGTCGATATTGATGTTAACGCTGCTGCTGCGCAGGCACAAACAGAGACACAGACACAGACGCAAAAATGGTGTGCTGGCAAACAAGATGTGACGACCTCGACACCTCCACCGGAAACTTCGCTAAACTCAACGACGGATGCACCAACACCAGCACCACAATCATCTTCCGCATCCTCCTCCACATCCACATCCACCCCCACCTCCCAACCCTCACCCCCGCGCCGCGAACAAGGAATCCCCATCGTCCTAATGTACGGCGAGCACGACTGGATGGATGTCGCGGGTGGCTACGCGGCGAAAGCACGCATTGAGGAAGAAAAAGCGCGGATCCTGCGTGACGCTAGCCCCGAGGAGCGCGCAGCGGATCAAGGTTCTGCGAAGGTGGTTATCATTAAGAATGCGGGACACCATTTGTATCTGGATGGGTGGGAGGAGTTTAATGAGGTTATGTTGGAGGAAATGAGGGGGGTTCACCGGGCGGGGAAGGCAGAAGGGAGGGGGCAGAATGGAGAGTAGGATGTGAGGATGCGATGAAGGGGGAAAGGGGGAATGGAGTTGTGTGTGTTTTTTTTTTTTTTTTTCGCGGGTTATTTATTATTGTAGGGTAGTTGATTTTGGGTTGAGTGGATGGGCGTTCTTAAGCGCTGGAAGGAATATGTTGGATTTTTTTTATATTATTTTTTTAATTCCCATTTTATCTAGGATAGAGGGATTTGGTATTTGGCATTTCTCTTTATTTTTCATTTTTTATTTTTTTTTTGGCTTTCTCATTTTCCTATTTTTTGTTGAGATAGGGCATGATTCATTCTCGTTAATGATGAGGACAATACACGCATTTTTCTCAGTATTAAAAAAAAAATAAAAAAAAAAGAAACAGAAACAGAAACAACACATCCCCTCCTGCCGTTCCATATATGTATAATAGATATCATAAGACTCCCAGATTTATGTATGTACTGTACACGGATTCCCCCACTTGATCAGAAGAAAACGAAAACGAACGCCGTGTGTTTCCTGTCACTGGCAACTTTTGGTAAAGGAAAAAAAAAAAAAAAGAAAGAAAGAAAGAAAGAAAGAACCAGAGGAAGTCAAAAATACTCATACTCTCTTTCCATATCATGTCGTCTTGTGGCGCTAACCTAATAGGTCATTAATGGATCATTGGGGGATGGTAAATGGAATGGAAATGCGGATGGAAGGATGGCTTTTATTTTTTGTGTGTGCGCGATTTTGTTTTTTTGGGCGCGGGGGGGAAAGGAACTTTTGGCTCTCAAGTTCTTGTGTATACATATATATATCATACGACTAAGTCAGTATTCCATCTTATTGAATTGAATCGGAGGGTCTCTGCTGAAAACCTGGCACTGGCACTGGCTGTAGGATAAATTTCCTCTTCTGGATCGCGCAGTACCAAACAATGCTTCGCAGGGGCTTCTTTCTTTACCGGTCAATAGTCGAGGATATCAGCAACGGCAGTGTCATCGTCATCGTCATCGTCATCGTCATCAAAACTACCACCATCATCGCAATTCCCATGTCCACCATCATCACCGGTTTCGTCCGATAAGGGCGGGGTTATCTGTGGCCTCGCAGCAACGCCTGCGGGTGCTTGAAAGAGGCCATTGATCGGCTCAAAATCGTCCCCCAGGTCCCCCTTACTCACAAAGGTCCCCAGCGATACAGGTGTTGGAAGACTGTGTTTGCGTGCTAATGGGCACATCTGTGGAGGATTGCCCTGTGAATTTTGTATTCTGAGTCTTCTCTTCCTCTCGGGCGGGGTTGAGCCCTTCCGCAGCAGGAAATGTGAATTGCGGTGGTAGATACGGCCTCGGAACGTCAAGTTTTCAGTTGGTGAGTACGTGCCTGGTTGGGATGAGCTGCGGCGGTGGGTAAGGTCATGGACGGTGTGAAAATGGGGGCTGCCGGGGTATGCACCAGTGGCTGTCGAGCGGGGTGGGCTTGGCAGGGTGTGGAAATATGCTCTGGCGAGGGCAGTGAAAAAATCGAGGTAGACGAGACAGAGGCGCAGGAAGAGGGTTGCGAAAGCTATAGAGATGGTAATTGTTGCAGTGAAGGCGAGCGGGATGATTATCAGGAGAGCTATGGGGAGGATTATTAGGTTGGTTATGTAGATGCCCAGCATTGTGATGTGCGAAGTGGAAGAAGGGATGGGTGATGTCATCCATTTGAAGCTAGATGGGGAGGAGAAACAGCACTGGCCCTGCAATGAGGGCGCCGGAAGAGCAAAGGGCTCCGTGTCGGTCCATCACGGCATAGGAATATAATAATTTTTTGAGATATAAAACGCTTGGGTCTATAATGAATGTCGATGGAGAAAGAGAAGACGTTGCAAGAGCGAATCAAGAGCTTCGGCCAGCTTGGCTGATTAATAAGATTGCGGACGGCTTGGCGGCTGACATAACCCGAACTGCACTTCAACCTCTTCCAACGCAACATTTGTTTGTATCTAGATAATAGTTGGTGCTGAGTATCTGGTTAATTCTGGTCTTTGAAACCGCGGGAGAAAGGATCAAGTGTTTGGCGGTAGTGCCGCGTCTTCATCCGGGTGCGAAAGTCAATGGATACTCCCTTTCCTTGGCATTTAGGCGTTTATGATGCCCATTGTCATCCAACGGACACGATGGCGTCGATTGATGATATTGCTCAGATGAAGACAGCTACTTTGACGATCATGGCAACTCGTGCACAAGATCAAGAGCTGGTTGCTCAGTCTGCGTCGCGATATCCTCCAGTCCAAGGCTCTGGTGACCCAAAGCTAAGAGTTCTTCCCTGCTTCGGATGGCATCCCTGGTTTTCTCATCAGATTATCAATGATGCCAACACAGAAATATGCAACGACACCATTGTCTCCAAAGAACATCATTACAAGCATGTTTTGACTCCCCCAGTCAAGGATGAAAACCTGCTGCGTGCTCTTCCGCAACCATTTCCCTTGTCGCAATTGATCTCTGAAACGAAAGCTCGGCTGGAGATGCATCCTCACGCCCTTGTCGGAGAGATCGGCCTAGACCGTTCATTTCGCATCCCAAATGCTGGGTTTCCTCACGAGATTGACAAAGGCAGAGACACCAGCCTCACACCAGGCACGCGGGAAGGAAGAACATTGTCTCCTCATCGCGTCACCTTAACCCATCAGAAGGCAATTCTCAGAGCCCAATTGCAGCTCGCGGGGGAAATGCAACGGCCTGTCTCTGTTCATAGCGTCCAAGCACATGGTGCTATTTTCGACCTACTCCAGGAGCTATGGTCCGGCCATGAGAAGAAACACGTCTCTAATCGACAACGCAGGAGAAGGCCAACTGTAGACAAAGCCAACGACCTTAGCGATCATGAACAGGCTGAAGATAAAAATAGACCGTCAAGCCCTGTGTCATATCCTTTTCCACCACGGATATGCATGCATTCGTACTCTGGGCCTCCAGACGCGCTGAACCAATTCCTCCGGAAATCCAACCCAGCTGATATATATTTTTCATTCTCTAACGTCATTAATTTTGCAAATGATTCTTCGAAAAAGGTCGCCGAAGTGATCAGCGCCCTTCCTGATGATAGAATTCTGGTCGAGAGCGATCTTCACTGCGCTGGAGAGAGAATGGATGACTTGATGGAAGCCATTGTGCGTCGGGTATGTACGATCCGTGAATGGGATCTGGAACAAGGTACTCAGATCCTTGGCGAAAACTGGAAACGGTTTGTTTTCGGATAACATTACAAAGAGATGGGGTTATTGGAGTGAGTCTCTAAAACTCTTTCTTCGCTTGTCCATGTTTCCATAAGCGCGACCAACAGCGGACTATTTGTTAGCTCCCGGGCAGGAATCGGTGTCGGTATTTGAAAGACCAGCATACGCAGTACAATACCACCGATTGATTTTGTGTTAACATTTTGACGACTTAATCTAAATACGACATTCCTGAAACCACTCAAATATGGCTCACACAACCAAAGAACGTAAAATAATGCAGCTTTTCACCATGTCTCAAGGAAACTGATCCCTTTCTCCTCTCGGCATTTTCGGCGTTTTGTTGAATAATCTACATGGATATTCTGATTAACGAGGATAAAGGCCGTGAAATTTACGGCGTGTCACGTTCCCAACTGTTGTCCACTGTTGAGGTTGAACAAGCTTTGTCCCCGCGCATAACATGACAAACTCCGCTTGGGGAATAGTGCCGTGAGATCTACAGACCATCCGCCTGTATGCCTCAAAAAAGGGGTTGCACAGAAAGTTTCCACTATTGTATGATGGGTGATCTGAGGGCATTGTTCGACTCGGAGAACAAACAGAATAAAAGAGCACATGGGCGATGACGACCGATTGTAGGCGCTCTCAACTTGTTTTTGGGATTGCAAGATACCATTTCCAATCATTACTCTTTGCCTGCAAATCGGGCATTATCAAGAGTTTGAGGTTTGTGTTACAATGTTGAGCTCACAGGACCTGTTGGTGTGTACAGTACCCCGTACTGTGCCACCCAACTCGGTCTATCATGTCGATCAAATTCCCTCCAATCATATTCGTGTGTCGAAATGCAGCACAAATGATAGCAACACCAAAAAGCCACTTCAATAGAGCGTGCTATTATCGAGGTCTTCAGCGACACTTGGCCTTTGTGTGGCCGCAAAATTAAACTTTCCTGGTAACTATGTCCTTCCTATGCCTTCTTTCGCTTTCTTGTTTTTGCTTTTTGTACAGAGTACTCTTTGTTACTCGACATCTCGCGCTTGTGCTGGTACTAGATTTACTATGGATGATCTGTAACATCGCTAATCCAATTGTGATACAGTGTAGAGAACAGAGAGTGCCGCCAGGGGATTCTAGACAGCTTCAGATTCCCCTAAATGATGATATCTCCTTTCTTGGATGGATACTTCCTTCAATTGCTCCTTACTTGAGAGTGGTATGCTACCATTCATACTCTTAAAAATGACAGGTATATTTGAGTATGGTATATAAACTCTACCACGCTGTATTTGCCGATGATGTCGACTCCAGAAAATCATCTTATCCTTAGAACTCCCTGCAGATAGACATCTAGTTCCAAACTCCTGATAGGCGTAAAGGGTACTTTGCCCAGTCGGCCCGCCATGCACGGAGGCAGCCACATAGCTAACCCTGGTGACATGGGGTTTGAAATCTGCGGCTCGTCAAGCTGCACAGAATCACCATAACGCAAATATTTAGTTGATCACGAGTACCCGTGATCCTGGCTCGAGGGAATTACTCAGACTCCCATCTACACACATGATTCCCTTTTCTTCTTCGTTATATTTTGTTCTTTTCGAGGATACAGACCTTCTCGTATGTCAATCCTAGAGCCAACAGCATGGAATAAATAGCCGGCATTTGAGTGGATATCCGACTTAACGTCATCTCTCAAAGAGCGCGTCAAGTCGATCCCTAACGATAATTTTCGATGAAAGGCTGTTAATCACAAGATACGTTTGTCGGAATTTCCCGTCGCGTTTCTTGTGGACGGAATATCAACATTTCAAATGGCATCGAACAAACCTTTATAAGTATTCGGCGACTAAAGTGCACCCGATATCCAGTTCCCACCTTCCGATGTATAACTTCTCCGAATCCCTACATTGGGGCAGTTTCTTAACCACTGTTATCTCTATCAACATCTTTTGGTGGATCTGGGACATCCCTCTGATATGGAAACGAGGGTTCCGTGCTTATGTCGATGCGATTACCTGGGAATGTGTGCGAATTTACATGCCTTCTATCGCAGGAGCTTTTACGATATACCATACAGCCAATCGCGCCCGCTGGCCAAAACTCTACTATTTTGGTGGCCGAGATGAATCGCGTATTCAAGGCATGACTGACACAGAGGTTATAAGGATTGTTATCACGGATTCCTTAACCATCACCGCTACTGTTCTGACGATATCCAAATTTTACATCGAGCCATCGGATTCGACATTCAACACAGCTCTGTGGGCGTTCCCGAGCCTTCAAGTTTCTCTGATTGGTATCTGGATTGTCGGTGCCTCATATACCAAAACATGCCCAATACGAAATATCCTTTTAGGCGGAGCGTTGTTTGTCTTCGCGATCGGCATATGCATCGGAATTATTTTGATGTGTTCAAGTTTGACACACCTTCAAGCGTGGCTGCCGACAACGATGTTGTACTTTTTCATGGCTTCGCCCTTTTGCCTGTACACGCATGGTGTGTTTGTCACAGTCATCGTGCTGATAGCGACAATGGCTCGGGTTGGAGGTTTGGCTATTACTGCCCTGCTTCCAAGGCATGCCATGCCGTCGACATCAATAAAAAATCCATTATTTGGAACTGTATACCTCGCTGTAGGGCTAGTTGGGGGAATTTTAGCAATTTACGGCAGATTGCGGTCAAGGCATATATGCATGGTTTTGAAACAGGGTGGAACGATACCTGACATGAATACTTCGATGCTAAGTGTAAGTTTTGACCCCGATATATTGACTCATTTGATTTATCCCCGATTCCAACCCCGTAGATATTCCTAACTAATAGGGTCTGGTATAGAATGGAGTAGCATCATTGGATGTGCTTCAAACTTGGCTGCGCGGGAAATGTGGAAGGAAACACGTTTCTGAGAAGGATGGAAAGGCTGTGGTAAGAACCAGAACCCGGTGTTGAAATTTTCGGCTCCTTGGTGCATCAATATATATAACTGGATGATTGGGCAATAGGGACGCACAAAATGGCCTCGGCAAAGTGGAAATTATCAGGTACGGTCTCCCCTTCAACACCCGAATATGGTAAGACTTTTTCTCCTCTATATATTGAGGTTCCAATCTAGCTAATATTATCTGAAATCTTGATAGCCAATAATACAACCGCCGGAACGAGCCTATTATTCCGAATTAATGGTGGAGGTTAGAACTCACCACTCCCCAAACGTATCATTCCCGTACTTCTATCGCTGGTACATTGGCTGATTGTTTTAAGGAATGCACTCGACAATCGCTACCTGTTTATGATTCACCGGATGTGGTATGCCGCTGGCCCAGAAATTATCCCCGAGAATCCCTAAAGAATAAGACAAAAGATAGAAACAATATCTGTTCAACGCTGCTAATAGAAACACACCTTCATTTTTTGCTTGCTTTTAGGGAATCTGGGGACATATATCAGCTCGGCGAATACCGGCGGACGAGATCCATGTTATCAATGCTCCCAAGTATTCCGAATCTATAGAGTCTGCATTCTTCAGTGGGAGAGCACGGGCGCGGTCCATACGGATAAAACGGAAACCGGTCGGAAGCGGGTCTTTGACAACAGTGCGTATTAGAGCTGCACCTCTCTCTCTCCCGCCAGCAATTGGATGAATCTAGATTAAGGAAAATCGAGCGCGGAGAAAAAATCTAGCTTTGTGCATAGCTGACAGCAATTAATTTTCCGAAGAGAACAACCCAATGGCGAAATGACGATAATGACAAATATATCACAAACGTGAGGAATTCATTTTGATCTTATTGACATTTTCTCCCAATGGACCTTTTTTTTTTTTTTTTTTTTTCAGTCGCGGCTTTCGCCATATCAACTGATCCGAATTCGCTCTTCTGCGGCCTCCTAGAATTAATTATCTGACGTCGACATACTTTTAACAGATCCAGAAACCAATATCAGTTACATACCAACCACAAAATAACACCAATAAAGTAAGGCATATGGAAAGAAACTGGACAGTAAAATAATGATCCATCAGCACTAATAATCTATCAATCATCCATATAGCTTTCCAACGAAGCGGAGCTCGCTCAGCCCACGAAACAGCATCTAGCCCATTCAACACCGCTTCGGGCCTCTAGTTGCCTGGTACGTTTTGTTGCTCTTGTTGTTGTCCATCGACCTACCCAACAATTCCCGCATCCATACTTTGTTTATATAGATATAGATATATATATATATATATACAAAAGCATCCACACACTAACCACTCCCCACTTTACACATACACAAGCAGCAACCGGGTAATAAACGACGAGCACGATACTTCGAAGCCGAGGCCGGCAAGATACACATAGGCACACGAGCGTGGCAGTCCAGCCCCCCGGTCCTGAAGTCGAAACCCCTGCCGAAACCACCCACTGCCGCTGCTGCTGCCGCTGCCGCCGCCAGCCCTGTGATCAGGTTGAAGAACTGGGCAAGGGGTGAGGGTTGACGTTAGTGATGACGATGTTATTTATTTATTTATTTATGCCTTGCTTTTCGATTTTTTTTTTTTTTTTTTTTTTTTTTTTGGGTAGGATGAAGCCGCCAGGGACCTCTGCACCCTCTGCGCTGGTTTGTGTCGCGGCGTCTTCTTTCCTTTTCTTCTCTCTCTCTCTCTCCCTCTCTGCTTTTTATACGTCTCTTTCGGGAATACACCTCAAGAATCGCAGGGAATACATATTGCCTTCCTTCCCTGCATTACGCACGCAATTCCATAAAATTCCCCTCTGTTCTTCTCTTCTTTACCTACTCAATGCGAATTAATGGCTAATGTTTGAATATATTGTATTTGTATTTGCGGGGGAGCGGGGATGGCTGGTGTAATCGGCAACATCCCCGAGGTGAGGATTATTATCAAACGCAGCCTACAAGGAAGGGCCCCGATGGGGTTGGATATAGATATAGATATAGATATAGATATAGATATAGATATAGATTGTGGATCTTGGGAAGAATTGTCTGGTGGCTCTCCCTTGTGTCCAGGGCGTTGCAAACCATGGAGGGAAAAGCCAAGGAAAAAAAAAAAAAAATAAAAAAAATCGGCGGTGTTATAATGTTCGATCTATAGTTAAGGGCCGTGTAAGCCGTGCAAGCCGTGCTTTGGACGTATATATATACAATACACTAGGGGCGCAAGCATGGCACGTTCACTCGATTCTGTTGGGTTTTCGGGTTTCTAGATATCTTCTGACGGGTGGGTGGAGGGAGGAGGTTGGTTGTGTGGTGGAATAACGAAAGGGATGCGGATACAGCAACTCAAAAAGGAAATAAATAATAAAATAAATAAAAGTAAAAGTAAAAGATAAAAAGTAAATGGCCACTGCACCTACCTCTATCCACGGCCTGCCCCGCCTTCTCAAAATAGTATATATACGTACCAACCGCGCCTGCTCACTTCTTCTCAGCGACATATTTCCCCTCCCTCCCCTCCAACTGCGCCTCCAACACCGCGGCCTTCCCAGCCTTGACACTCTCGACAGCCTTGGGCAGCAAATCCGCCAACTCCTGCACCGATGCCGCACACCCAGCCCATAGCTCCCCCCCGGCCGCCGCCTTTGCAATGCCCGCATAATCCGGTGTAGGCGCAAACGAGATATTCAGCTCCTCGTTCGTCGCTCTCGACGCGTCCCCGTCGGGATGGACCAGCAGCATGCTACGCTTCGGCGCATTCCATCCCTTATTGTTCAGCACGACAGTGAGCACGGGGATGCTGTACCGGCGCGCAATCCAGTACACGGAGCCGGGCACGCTGAAGAGATACGTGCCGTCGCCGACGATCTGGCAGACGAATTTGCCCCGGCCCCGTCCGCCGTGCTGGTCGTCGGAGGCCAACTTGAGGCCCAGGGCGGCGCCGCCGGACCAGCCGAGCCCCCCGCCGCCGCAGTTTACCCAGGAGTTCGGCAGCGTGACTTTCAGGTGGTCGGCGACGAAGCCGGTGAGTGTCACGGCTTCGATGCACCAGATGGTGTCGGCTGGGCAGGCGGCGCGGATTTGAGAGATGAGGTAGGCTGCGTTTAAGGGAGCGGTGGGACCGCCGGTTGGTGTTGCGGCTTGTGCGGCCAGAGCTTGCAGTCGTTGCTTGTGGGCGGCTTCGATGGCGGCGCGGCGGGAGGTGTATTCCGAGGTTGTCAGGGTTTTGAGGAGGGAGTCGTTGCTGGAGATGTGGTGGTTAAGCTGACGCAGGGCGGTGGTGCAGTCAGCACGGTAGGTAGCCTGGGCGGGGAGATAGAAGACAGGCATTTGCTGCTTCAAGGGGTCGATATCGATATGGAAGATCTTCGCGGATTCCGAAGGCTTGCAGAGGCTAGGGATCCAAGGCACATCGCAGTCGATGACGAGGATGACGTCCGCGGTGGGGATTTTCTCGTGCACTCCGAATCGAAGGCCGAGGGATGCGGGGTGATCGGCTGGGAAGCACATGTCACTTCCGCCCGTATCGATAACCTGGAGGCCATGCACGGTATCTGCGAGACGGACAAGCTCGGTCACGGCAGACGCAACTCGTCCGCAGTAGGCTGTAATCACCAGCGGCTGCTTGGCGGATACCAAGAGCTCGGCGATCAGGGCGACCGCGTCTTGAGGGAGCGCAGCGGGAGCAACGGGTTTCCACGTATCTCGGTTGATGGTGTATGGCTCGATTTCCTCCTCCAGGACCTCTCTAGCCCCGACCAGATAAACAGGTCCCTGGGGACTGCTGGTCGCAAACTGCAGGGCCCTATTGACGATCTGCTTGACATTCCTACCGGTCTTGAACTCTCCGGAATATCGACAGTATTGAGACACGATTTGCTTTTGGTCCGGGACATCCTGGATCCAATGGATATACTCCGTGCGCGAGCCCCGCATCTCGCCCTCTAGCGTAAACGGAGAGAGGCCGGCAAAAATCAAGACCGGCGCACGGCCACAGGAAGCATTGTGGACAGCGGCACCCAGCCCCTGAGTGCCCACGTCGACATGGACGATGACGCACTGGGGCTTTCCGGTAAGGCGAGCGTACCCATCAGCCATGGACAATGCCACCATCTGAACTCAAGCGCGGGCATCAGCAGTCCATTCGTTATTTGAGGCAAGCGAAGATAAGACTTTTTTCTTTTCTTTTTTTGCAAAAGAGTTTGCATGCCCCGACGATAGCCGCGCATAGAGGAAGAAGATGAAGCTGTTTCAAAACAACCTTACCTCATTGGGACATGTCATGATACTGGGAAATTGGCCTCTTTTCTCATTCTGGCCCTTGACAATGGCTTCCAAGATCGAGGGATGGTCCGAGCCTAGATTGACGAAGACGTGGGTGACCCCGGCCTGTAGGGAATGGTTAATAAAACACCAGTATCAAAAGATATGCAAATTGAGGGGGGGGGGGGGGGGGGGGTGGTTGAATGGCTGGAAAACCAACCTTCGCCAGAGCGCGTCGAGGACGGCAGAAGACGGCAGTGTACACTCTGTTTGGAAAACATGACAATGGTACAACATCAGCATGGCAAAGACATCACGCCCGGACATATGCAGGAAAGGTTTTCACATTTTTATATATATATATATATATATATATGTCGTGCTGCTTTTACAGCGGCGACCACCAGCAAAGCTCTATCCTACTAGATAACAGACGCGCCCTAGCAGACGCCCCGGCAGAACGGGGTGGATGACCAAAGCAATGTATATATATGTATATACGATCGAAGAGAAAGGAGGAGAGAGAAGAGGCGAGGTGAACACAGCAAGATGAAGAGGAAAGAAGAAGAAGAAGATGAAGAAGAAGAAGATGATGAAGAAGAAGATGAAGAAGCTTGGATCGAGAGGAGATGGCGCTGAGTCAGCGACTGCTACAGCCGGTGCCGGGAACGCGGGGGAGCGCTAGGCGGTTCCTAGCCTAGGGCGGTGAGGCTGGTGGAGACCTCGGCCCAACGACCCAACCAGAGGCCGCCGACAGTCGCCGCGGTGGATTCTTGATGCTGTGGCTGGTGTCCGCAGTGGCTGGAGCTGTTTATAGTGACCGCTTACAAAGAATGACGTTGAGCATTCAACTAAGTAAGTATATCCAACTCGTCCAACTCCAACGTCAACTAACCATCAGAACTTGATATGAACATCGGGCGATTCATTCAATGCCTCTAAGCTCCCTTGAGAATACCTGTTTCCCGGGGTTTGGTATTTCGGAGAGAGTGAACCGGCGCGAGATGCTGTACCAGTCACTTCCCGCAACCTCCCTCTCTTCCGCACCTTCCCTCCACCCCAACCGTTGATGCCGCTGAGAATGTATCTCTCGTTTCCTTTCTCTCCTCTCTCTCCTTTCTCTTCCTTTCCTTGGGGATTGTTCCAGCTCCAGGTCGGGTTGGTAAGCCTCTCGGTGGCGGGGTTCGCTGCTCTCTTAAGCTTCTGCTCCCTTGTCTTTGCACTGCTGCTGGCACGTCCTACCAGTGTGCACTGGTCCTGCGACGACATGTTCTCTGAGTGGACGTACGAGCTTTGCCGGGACGGTTCGAATGTGACTTCGGAACTTGCCGATGACCCTGAAACCACCCCTCGTGATGCTGTCCACCGGCTATTCAAGCCCCGCAATGGTCTGTGCGGGAGATGCCAGCGCGACGAAAGGCACAGGGGAATTGGACAGCTTGACCTGCAGCAGGCATATCTGTGCGGGAAATGGGGCGCCAAGAGGCCCAGCGATCTTTTCCTTCAAGTATGGACAACCGTGGAAGATCAATTCAATTTTTTTGGTCGAATTGTTATTATTATTATTATTATTATTATTATTATTATTATTATTATTATTATTATTATTATTATTAGTGGAGTTTTCCCCCCCCTTCTAACAGGAATGTTCTAACTCTGCAATCTGCGTACCAGATATACCACGATGTGCTCTGTACTCTTGACCGCAACCCGATGGCCGGGTGTGCTTCCCCGGCATTGCTAGGGAGCTCTGGCGTTGTGCCTTTGACTATCATTGCTCCGACTCCAGATGTCTGTCGCCATATGGCAAACTGTATAGTTCGAGCGGAACAAGAGGTGTTCCTGGCTACAAATTTCTGGGTTTCATCCCGTTGCTCGACAATCATCACGGACGCTCTCAAGGAGCTCTCCGTTCGTGCTGGTAGACGGGGTACCACCAAAGTGGTTGTTAAGATAATGTATGATCGCGCACACTTGAAACAGGTAAAGCTGAAGTGATTAAATCCCGTATTGCATTGCTGCTAAAACACTTTGTGACGCTTAACAACGGAGATAGATCATCAACAGTCGCCAGCTCGTTTATCCCCAAGCCGCCACCGATGTCCGTGTGCAAATGCCTCCTCCAGAACATATTCCAAACCTTAAGCTCGAGGTGATGAATTACCATCAGCCCATTCTGGGGACATTCCATTCAAAATTCATGGTAGTGGATCGGAAGGTAGCACTGCTTCAAAGCAGCAACATTCAGGTTAGCCAATGGTGATACGGGTGCATTTGTTTTGTTTCTTTCTTCCAATATTGATGTAGCAGGCGTTAACTCAGCTCGCTTCTGATACATATATCTTTTTTTTCTAAACTTGTTTTAGGACAACGATAATTTGGAAATGATGGTTCGACTGGAAGGCCCTATCGTCGATTCTATCTACGATATGGCCATTATCCAATGGAATGCCAAGTTGAGACCGATGCTTCCCATGGTTAATTCGCCAGCGGCGTTGGGACAACCGCCCACTTTTGCTAATCCTGCTGCGCGAAAATCCTTCGAGAAAGGGGTGTATACCGTCCCACAAGAAAGGTACGGCCATTTGATCTCATCCTCTAATTGCTTGTTATCTTGCCGGGTTTAACACATTGGTGGCTGTTGTCTTAAAGTATTCGATCGAAGGAAATAGAAAAGCGGAACGAGCTTGGTTGCGACCGCGAAGAATATCAGCCCGATATTGAGTCGGAAGCCGCATGTATCCAGGCATGCCTCAGGCCCCGAAATTCAGAGAATAAAGTCGAAAGCGTCACTCGCTACTTGAGTACGTATATATATATGGCCATGTATATGGTTTGTTTATTTACCTCGCTTACCCAATGTAGATGTTATTAAACGCCCTGATGTGAGAGGCGATGCCCCCTGAGTGGTCTGACCAGGATGAAATGACACCTTACATCCTGCATGCACCCCATAATCCATTCCCAATGGCGCTGGTATGTCGAGAGCCATGGTCTGGTAGGTTTGAACTATGAAGTGAAGAGACTTTTTTCTCGCAGCTAACTTCAGGAGCCAGCCTTGAATCATTCGAGTCTTTACACACCTCAAAACGTGGCATTCCTTTCAGCTATCCGCAACGCTCAAAAGTCCATTTTCATTCAAACCCCAAATTTGAATGCAGAATGCTTGCTAGAACCCATCCTTAATGCTGTTCGTCGAGGGGTTGTGGTGACCTGCTATCTTACCTTAGGATACAACGATTCAGGACAGCTTCTTCCCTTCCAAAATGGCATCAACGAGATGATATCAAATCGCCTATACAACTCGCTCAAATCCGAAAAGGAAAAATCACGGCTCCAGATATACAACTATGTGGCGAAGGATCAAACGAGACCTATTCATAATAAGTTCAAAAAACGGAGCTGTCATATAAAACTGATGATAATCGACCGGCACGTCGCGATTCAAGGTGAGAACTATGAAATGCGAAGCGTCATCAATCCGGTTTTGTTTGTTGTTAACAACGCAGTATTCTAGGGAATGCAAATCTTGATACACAGTCGATTTTCCACTCTCAAGAAACGAATGTCCTCCTTGATTCTGCGGAGGTGTGCCAAACTTGGCTTGAAGGCATCCGCAGAAACCAAAACACGGCTATATACGGCGCAGTTAGCCCGCAAGATGGATGTTGGCATGATCCAGTGACGGGAGGCATGGCGGAAGGCGCGATTGGAATCAACCCCGGAAGGTTCAGTTGGATAAAGGGGTTTGTGGGGGCGATCAAGCGAGTTCGCGGAGTGGGTGCGTTCTGAAGGTATGTGGAGGTAGGTGCAAAACAAACCTTTGTTTTGCACAATGTGTTGAGGCCTTGCTAAAAAAAAAAAAAAAAAGAAAAAAAAAATTAGAGAAGTTTCGCGGATTGCACCCTGGTCGTTTGGTTTATCTCATATCTCGATATAAGATATGTCCACTTTTCCCTGTTTTTTATCATTTTTACATATCATCCCGGATGTACTGTGCAAGCAGCAGGAGCGAGTCTCGAAACAACCAATGATCCATGCAACAGCTTCTACGGCAGGATCCATGGTGAATAGCACAAACTCAACACACAAAAATCACTTCTGAGTTGCGGCTTTCCCGTCCCAATCCATGCATATATGGCATGGCAAAGTCCGAAAGACTAAGACGCATTTTAAACGGGAAAATCATGAATGTTTCAATCCGAGTACCTGCACTGGGACTTTGGGTTACTCCACTTATGAAGGGGTTGTGTGGATCAGGGAGCTGGCGGCGCCGGTTTCGTCTTTGTATTGTTGTATTGTTGGTATTATCCTTCAACGAAATTCCCTTTTATTTTTCTTCGGTGGGTTTGAAAATGAAGAAGCATGAAGGAAAGAGGCAAAAATAAATAAATCAAAACCGAAACTGTGGGTTAGAAAGGGATGTATGGGTAGGAGAGGCAGAGGTTTTCTTCTATCAATTAGTTTACGCACAGATAAAAGAATGCTGTGGATGGACTGTAAAATGATATTAGGGAAGTTATGTTTACACAGTAAGCTTAATAGAAAGCAAGCAAGAAAGAAAAAGGCAATGAAGTATATGCTGCGTACGTTGGCTTTTTTTTCTTTTCCTCTCAATACTTCGAGTGGCCCTCCGTTCACATCACCAGTATCATCATTGTTCATTATTTGCTGCGATTCAAAAGAGACGGATTTTGGCAATTCTGCTGCCAGCTTGCATAACTTGCTCATTAATAAGATTTCAGGGCCAGGGAAGCTCCTCTCGCGTGCTTATGATCTGACCGGGGAGTTAGCTGTGGCTTGCACACATAGCCCTTTGACTACGTGGTAGTTAACGATCACGGACGCTCGGCCCTTTCCTGAGACACCGACCAACATCCTGCTGATTTACCACCCGCGACAGCCCATCCCAGTGGAAGCACGGCCCATAGGTAGATACGCAGCGTACTCCGTAGTGTTGGGGGGATTGGATTGGGTGATTCGTACCCTCTATATACCACCACGGCGCTGGTGGTGATTGAGCTCTTTTGCCACTAGTTAGTGGTCTAATAGATAGGTAGGCTGGGCCCCCCACAGGCTGTGTTCGGTGATATTTTTTCCGTTCGTTACCAGTCCGGGTGTCTATCTCTGTATCAGTAGCTCCGTACAGCGTAGTATTGTTAGCAGATTGCTTCAAGTTATGTTCTCATTTTTAATCGACCTAAATCGCGATTCATTTTTTTTTTTTTTCTTTTGAAAAAGGAGGAAGAAGGAAAACGAAGAAGAATGGGATCATTGTATGCTCCTGAGCTTCCAAACTGGAGGTTGGATTGGCGTCGGCGAGTTAGGGCTAGGCTTTGCCGCTTTGGGACATGCTGACAACAATGACGTTGAAAAGCAACGACAGCCCCGTCCCGTCCCCGATTGAAAGATTCGATAACAGTCCGATAACATTCTTAAAAATATCACCGACCGGTGTTATGTTCATTCCGTCCTCGCCTCTCTGACTGGGATAAATGACTGGGGAAAAACAGAGAAAAAAAAAAAAAAAACAAACAAAGAAAGAAAGAGCTAGATACAGCTTCTCTACAGGATTCAAGTCTCGTGCTCGCTCAAGGATGGAGAGCCCAGTTTTGCTATTTTTGATGCTGCGGCCGCCTCTGTTGATAACAAGTACTTCTGTACGGAGGTGTCGGCTGTCTAATCTGGCCTTCTAAAGAGGCTGGAAAGATTTGGCCGGAGGAGGGAGATTGTTCCTGCGTAAAGGTACTATGAAAGGAGCAAGCAGGGCTCGAGCTCTGCCCCCCCGATGGATTGTCATTGTCATGCTTGATTGAGCGTTGAAACCAGGGCTATCTATCGAACAGTGTGGGCCCCCTGCACCCAACCCTGGCTATACTGACCTTGCACCCCTTGCCCCAATGATCCCGATGATTTGGAGGGCATTTACCTGCATGAATCTCTAGGGGAATGAATTTATGTTCCAGCCTTCCGTACAGCCCATTTTTATTTTTTATTTTTTTATTTTTTATTTATTATTATTATTATTTTAATTTTATTATTATTTTTGGTTATTTATTTATTTATTTATTTATTTATTTCAATTGAGAGGACGAGATATGTGTCTGACAAGAGAGAGGAGCTTGTGGAGATCAGTCAAGCCTCCTTGTCAGGCGCTGAATCTGCGGAGATTAGAAACGATCCCTGGCGAATTAAAGGGTCGCTGGGCGACATCCTAGGTATTAGCTGCTCCAACCTTGCAAAACTTCCACACAGACATCCTGCCCTGTTACTCTTTGGCTAGGTGCTGACGAAAGAGTACAGAAATTACGATGGAGAACGATGGAAGGTGAATACGTGCTGCCAAAAGGAACATACAAGTATGCCGCCAGTGAGCAGGGAAACTATAAGTTACGGTCTGGTATGCAGACTACATACATCGGCGAACAGTCATTCCACAGCAGCCTTAATGGAAGAGTATCAGGACGTGCTGTCCTCGTACCTTATGCAGTACAGATTACATGGACGACAGCTATACTGAAGGTTGGGACAGCCCAAGCCGTGACTGCCCAGTGACCCTCGCCCAATGCCTTACCCCTGACGCTAAACTCCCTGCTTCCTCGGGCCTTAGTTAACTAGACGATGTCATTAGTATGTAAGCTCTAGGGAATCTTTGCTCTCATTCGCTGATCCAACTCTAAAGCTATATATGGAACTCAGCAGACGATTTTATTATTTTCCCCCGGCTAGTGTCTTCGCCGTTGATCCTAGCACGTCCGCTGCTTCTTCTCTGCATGACAGCTCGTCCTGGAGTTAATAATAGACACTCCCACTGAGAAGTAAACAGGCTCATGGTTGTGCTGCAGGTTCAGCAATGGATCGCTTTTCTAATGAAACTACTGTTTTTGTTTCCGCTTCTAGCTGGGTTTCGGGCACGACGACATCGCTGCATGATATTCTCCGGCTCTGATCCTCGACCGAGCAGTAATACAACACCAGCGACAATAACGTTCATTTCACTTTCTCTAGTTCTCGATTTGGGGAGTTAAGTGGGCAGGGATTCTCAGACCCAGTCCTCCCTTAGTGCTAGACATAAAAAAATAAAACAAAAAATAAATCTTTATATAAGATCCAGCCATGCCCCTATGTTCATCGAGTTATCATTCAACACAACAGATGACAAAAGCCATATGCAACCTTCCTTATATATTTATATATTTTGATAAAATACTCGGTTTTTGTTTTGTTTTCCAATGCATCTCTTCGACACATTTCTACCTCTCGCCCTGGTGGTGCTATCCACCACCACCGATGCGGCACCATTTCTTGAAGCAGGCACTGACGGCCAACTTATTCCCAATCAATATATTGTCGTAATGAAACCGAACACAACAGACGAAAAATTCGAGACTCACCGGAGTTGGGTTTCTTCAAAGCTGGTAGCTGCTGATTCTGGGGTCAGTAATGGCGGTCTCAGGGACCACTTCAACTTCGACGACCAATTCAGAGCATACTCCGGTGTCTTTGGCGATGACACTATAAAACAGATTTCCGATGACGAAGATGTATGGGCAATCCCCAAAATTCCAAACATTACAGATATTTACGTCTTCAAACCACTGACTGATGATTAACTTCCCAGGTTGCCTACATCGAACAAGACAAGGTTGTACAAATGCACCAGTTCGTTGTTGAGAAAAACGCACCGTCCTGGGGCCTTGGCCGCATCTCTGCCACCGAGCCTGGTGTCAAGGACTATATCTATGACTCGAGTGCTGGCGAAGGCATCACCGCTTATATTATCGACAGCGGTATTGACGCGAAGCACCCCGAGTTCGGTGATCGCGCGACCTGGGGTACGAACACTCTCGACTCGCAAGATGAAGATTGCAGCGGCCACGGAACTCACGTTGCGGGCACCATTGGCAGCACTACCTACGGTGTTTCTAAAAGGATTAAGCTTGTCGGCGTCAAAGTGCTTAACTGCGACGGAGTGGGATCATCCACAGCCGTTTTGAAGGGTGTGAAGTGGGCTGCCAGCCATGTTCAAGAGCATGGTGACCCTAAGAAGTCTGTCATGAACCTTAGCCTTGGACAGGGCTTCTCACGCGCAGACAATGAGGCTGTTGCCGCGGTTGTCCGTGCAGGTATCTTCGTTTCTGTGAGCGCTGGTAACGAACATGTAAGCTCCATTTCTCTCTTCCCTATGGATGGACTCCTTTCAAGGGATCTCCTGCTGACAGGCTCTCTAGCGGGATGCGTCGAATTACTCGCCTGCCTCTGAGTCAACTGTTTGCACTATTGGCGCTACTGACGACAAAGACAAGATGGCCAAATTCTCCAACTTTGGCAGTGGTAGTAAGTTTGCAACGTAATATGATTTTTATCCTCTATTTTTCCTCTGGTACTGACTCAAACACTCTACCTCCAAAGTCGACCTCTTCGCACCCGGTGAGGATATTATATCCACTGTTCCGGGAGGCAAAATCGCCAGCTACTCTGGAACGTCGATGGCATCTCCCCACGCCGCCGGAGTGGCTGCTTATCTTATGTCTCTTGAGAACATCAGTGGCGGCTCTGTGTGTGACCGCATGAAAAGTATAGCTCGGGACTCCGCCAAAGGTACCCCCAAGGGCACTACCACTAAACTGCTTTACAACGGCAGAAAATCCATCAAGAAGGACCCAAAGCCCAAAGACCCAAAGCCCAAAGACCCAAAGCCCAAAAACCCAAAGCCCAAAAAGCCAAAGACCAAGAACCCAAAACTATGCCATTCCAGGAGAAGCCGCAGAATGCTTGCATATTAATGTTAAACGCTGGAAATAACCGAGCCCTTTTCTTTAGTATCTTCTGTTTAATTTACTTCCCTTGGGCCATGCTCTCGTTTTGCCCTTACAAACGTTTCATTTTCTCATGTACGATACCACACATTTTCCGAAATGCATATAGATCTAGCGCTGTTTTTGAAGAATCAAATCCATTATTTTCATGATGCAAATTCTGCCTGATCCATCGTGGGACTTCTGTCATCGGGTTAAGGATAACTAACTGACACGGTTCTAATCCCAACCTCATCTTACCCTTTTGGGACTATCGCCAATCTCAAGTGCATTCATCCCTTGCAAACCTGTGACAGTGCTTCATCTCGCTGAGCCCCTGGTGTGGCTATTTATAACTAATATCCAACAACATGGCCGCGAAAAGTCGCGACAGGTCAAATGCAATGTCCAAGAAAAAGAAAGAAAAAACATTGCCTATTGCCACTTTTCAGCGGAGTGTTGCCCAGAAATCAACTCAACGCGGAGATCCTCGCGGGAGAGAATGGTGTTCTGCTAAAGGGGGGATCCACATAACACCAAGGCACTTACGCACTTGTATCGAGCGTCAGACTCAAAAAGACCGGCCACACCATGATCTGTCAAGGGAGCCCCCCGAGCCTTGTTCCCACCGAGCCCCCTGCGCCCTTTCTCCTTGAGCCGCTTATTCGATGGCAGATCAAAGTCACCCCTGGAGGCTGCCTTGGAGATGCGTCCCGTGCTACATAAGTCCGCCCGTAGCTTAAATTCCTAACCAGTTTTTATTTACGACGTGGGGGAATATGAACCATCCCCATAACCTTCAATTTCGCGAGTCACAACGATGCTGTTGTTGGCATTCGAGGCGTTCCGAGTCAACAAACCCGAGAAGCCCAATGCCTACTGTGCGTAAAAGCGTAGCGAGATCGTTCTTGGTAACTGAAATAAATATGGCCCCCTGGTACCCGCAACCACTTACGGTGCTGGGCAGCCTTGGCTGGTTGTTATTTTATAAGCGCATCCATGGGTATATAAAGGGCCTACCTATTCTGTACCATGTCAGCACGGCAGAGCCAGCGGCTGTGCACGCCAGAACAAGATCCTACAACCCTGATCGAAATATTCCACAGTCAAAGCATTCTGAGTTATCATTCTGCGATTGCTTAAACCCGATCTCTCAGCTACAACGTACCGAAAATAGAACTCTGTAGGATGCATAACTCGTCGGAACACATAGCTGTAAATAAACCTTTCACATCACAACACCTTGTCTGGAATGGTCATGTAGGTGGTTCTGGTTTGATCGCTGTGTGACTGTACTGTACTTACGATTGGATGTCAGAGCTGGATATGGTTTGTAGATGGGCTCCCCTGGGTTTCCCATTCCCAGTAGAGACTCCTGATACTCATTAAATAGTGAGATAGATGACTCTGTAAACATGTAGGTTGTTCTATAAAGAAAATCTGGACGATGAACTCTTGAGGCTATGATTACCGCTGTCATCATATCCACCAAACCACCATTTTCGAAATGGTGCCTTTTACCTGATTGCCTATTTTAGAAGGTCAGGTCTAGATATACTCCTCAGATATCATTGCTAAGAATGATAAGACACAATAGAATCAGTGGACATACTGATGGAACACACGGTTTGTGAATTAAACTTTAAGAAAAGAAAAGAAATTTTTTTGATTTCTTATCCTGCTAGTTCAAACTGCACAGAGTATAAAATGAAGAACAAAGTAGAGAAAAGAAACGGACAAACAAGACAGGACGGAGAGCAACAGGATTCAGAGTACACAGAATATAACTAATTAGAAGCAAAAGAGGTGAAGCAAGTAACCAGTATTGACAATGTATGTAATTATTACAAAATATATTATTAGTATGTATGGATATGTAGGATCGAGGATGAATAGATGATGTGTTTTTGGCCCCTTGAACATTCGTGCTTCCCAAAAGTTACATATACCCAGCAAAGCAATAAAACAAACAGGACAAAAAAGGAAACAGTTAGCACCCAGGCAGATTACAAAACTTAAAACAAAAAGAACAAGAAAGAAATGGAAACAAAACGGTAAACAGAAAAATACTTAAAAAACCAAGCAAATAAAGAGATGATGACAGGAACAAAATGAATCAAAGAGAAAAGTCGTAACATTACGGTGGCTGGACCGCAATTCTTTTTCAGCCTTAAGAAGAGAATTTTGGCAACAATTGGAGACGGTTATCCTGATTTTACATGTTGGCAAGTTCAGTGTCGATCTGGCGATCTAAGAATGCTTTCTTTTCGCCAGTCAATGTCGTTTGCAATCGTTGTTCGACGAGAGCACGGACTATAGCCACAACTCATTAGATTACGAATGCGAATGGAAAGACCGGAGGGTAAAGTGACATAATTAATAAAACGTACCTTGTTTTTTGGTTACCGTGTCCAAGTCCACTTCAGACAGGCAGTTCTGAATAGCCTCCGTAATAGTTGCCTTATCTGGCCCTAGACCTTGTGCAGATCTGAAGTCCACCACAGTGCTCATTGGCCGAGGCATACCCAGTGGGCTAGGCATGCTTTGCCGTTGAGGTACTCCGAGATGAGTTTCGCTTGTCATCGGTCCAAGCCCGCTTAGGCGGCTTGCGCTTGCTGGGTTTTCATGGTAGCTGCTAAGATTGCCCATCGACAAGTAACTTTGACTACGGCCGCCAAGGGGCTGATCCGTGTACCGTGAGAACGATGACAAGTGCGAACTTCTGTTACCGGGGATATTGCCGCCAAAAGGACTTGGGGAGTGTGGAGTCATATACGGTCCATGAGGTCCTTGGGCAGGAAAGCCGGTAAGGATCGTTGATGCCGGCTTCACTGAGGAATAAGTCGAGTGCATATCATCCATCTCCATGGCCGCGTCATCAGCATAAACTGGCTGGTAAAACTTTTCCTGCCCGGAAGGAGAATTTCCACGACGACCTGGGAGGTTGTTGGCAAGCGCGTAATCATCCCAACGTTGACTACGCACTGCCGCTATTTGTACTGGTCTCGGATCAAAGCCTTCGTCCATACGATAGACGAATGCCACTTAGTGAGAGGGTCTCCTTTTTCACCGATAACGATGCGAGTATTTCCCCAAGTGAAATGT